GGGGGGCAGGATGAAAGTATGAGGAAACATGTAAGCTTCAGTTATATGTCACATCGGGGAGTGAGCCTGGAGAGGGTGCAGTAATGTTTGGAGGTATGGAAGGTATGATCTCTGGAGTAATTTCCTCCACCGTATATTAATAGTAACATGGGCAGTATAATTTTACACCTCAAATTAAACAAAGGTTAAAGAAAAACTTCCAGTGAGGGTCATTCCAGTACCTGTGGGGGGGGCAGGGGTAGGGCATGAAGTGAAAATAATGCTTCTGTCTTTTCAGAAAATGATGAAGACCTAGTGGAGGACAGCTCATCTTCAGCCTCAGCGAGCCCCCCAGAAGACAAGGCAGAAGGCACATAGAAGGGAAGGAGAGAGAGAGAGAGAGAGAGACATTCAAGGCGCGCCTCTTTCAGAACGTGATGACCAGATGACTGTAACGGAAACACAGCGCTATGCAACATCACTACATCTGCAGTGGGAACTAAAGCTTGGGGTGGCTTCTCTCTGAGGGACACCGTTCTCTTTGTTAACCCTAATTTTGCAGGCTGCCTGAGTTACCCATAGTTAATACATGTTGCTGCTCCCATCCTTGTACATTCCTGCCCCCTAATAGACACACCAATCAAATGCAGAGCTGCGTGTTGAAAGGGTGACTCATCGGGACCATTTCTCCTGTCACACAGAACACCCCCTTGTATATGCAGACATGTCTCTTTGCACGCCACACGTATAAACATTCCATTTGTTTCCGCAAAATCGGTTATGTGTTTGACATCTGTGATCGGTCTCTCAAACCTTGTGTCCAGTGTACTTAACTGAATAACTATGTGAAAATAATACATGGCAGTATGCGTGTGGAGTTTTCCTTTTGTGTGACGATACGTTTTAGTGCCCGTCACGGCTGATGGAGAATACTAGTCGAGCATATTGTCCTTACTAGTCGAGTGTTACTGTATAAACCTCAGTTTACATGTACTGGACCTACGGTATTGTGCTGTTTTCATGTAATGCCCCATTTGTGAGGTCCTCAGTGACGATGGACAGCCACTTTTTTAAAAAAAGATAAAAATGAAAATGGGGGGGAGCATACCTGGATATCAGCAAAAGTGAATGATGTGAATTTGTACAGAAACCATTCAGCTAACTGTAATATTTTACCATTACTATTGATTAACTATTTTTCCAGTTTGTTGAGCATAATCATGCTAGAATTAGAATGATATAATCTGGTAATCTATATAAATCACACGTCAAATGCCATTAAGATGTAAACAAATAAAACCTGTATTTAGTTTTTTATGTCTTGTGTCTATGTTCACATGAGCCTTCCCGCCAGAAGGTGGCAGTGTTCATCCGCATGTCACGCTTGTTGATCGTTCTAGATACTGTAGCACAGGATAAATCTCAGGACCGTTGCCAGAAATTTCGTTGGGGGGGGTTCACCAATCCTTCCAATAGGTCCCGACTGGGGGTTTCCCCTGTCCTGAGGGCCCTAGGTAAATTTTTCCAGTCAGGGGGCTAAAGCAGATTTTAATCTGGGTTCAAACCCTAAATTTAACTACCTGGCTATATATGTGCCTGATGGGTAACAAAAAAACGTCGGGGGTGGGGAGGGGAGGAGAGTTCAAACCATCTGTTTCACTACGTAGCTGAACCTTTAAACACCTGTTATTGAATCGGGGAAGGTCGGGTCTGGGAGGATGCACTAGTGCAGCGCGTTGCCGCACCCACCAGGTGAAGAAACACCCGCCCCCCCAGGCCGACACGCGGACCAGTCCCACTCTCCGGAAGTGACCATATATCTGCCGCCACCAGGTGTTACGTGGGCGTCCCTTTGGCCTGGTCCTCAGCAATAAGGATCCTGCTACACATGCTGACAATTATAAAAATAAGCAACTGACAAGCGAGTCAATTGAGAAGCCAGCGTGTTGGTTAGGACCTTGCCCGTGACTGGAATGTTGCTGGTTCGAATCCTGAGGTCGGCAGGTTAATCATAATCCCATTCTCCACGGGCCCTGGATAAATAGCTAACCCTGAGATCAAGTCCGGGCATTTGCCGTGATCCCTGAGTAGGCATGGTCGGATATCCGAGGACCGGTGTTATGCCGAAAAAGGCATGCCTGCCGGTGTATTGTCGAGTTAGGCTACCGTAGTGCTAATCGATAGCTCTAACCCTAACCCCCCAAAAAAACCTAACCCTAAACCCAAGACGGTGGAACTGCACATGCACAGAAAGGCTCGATAGCACGTCTCGATAGGTAGCTCAACTCGTCAGAACACCGGCTTTAGCCGTAGCCTACGTGTACGGTAATAATACGGGTATTATCTTCTCTATAAAAACAAAGCACTTACAACACTGATCAACAGGGGGCAGCAGCTATCTCAGCGCGATTCCACTTCAGTGTTAAATTCCCCTTTGGATGAATGAACAAGTGATACAATTCTGTACACGGCTCTAGGCGTTGCCTCTGGAAATCTACGCAGAGAAATCGAGAGAAGACTATACTTCTTTATCCTTCCAACGACTTATTCAGTACATTGTCAGTAGCCTACATTGTCATCATATGATCATCTTATAAATAATAACGGAACACAAATCATATGCTCTGCTTCCTTTTTCAGATTTACTTCCCACTAAACTAAATTGACATTATATGGCAACAAGCACATTTAGGCACGCTAACAATAAAATGGAGTTCCCCGGTTTTTTTCCACCCCGCTTTGATATCGGCTCCAACCTTTTCTGTTCTCACTACATACGCCAGAATAACCCTTTTAGCTATAACCTATAAAACCACTTTAGAAATCAATAACAATGGGCCTGTCTTTTCATTATTAATAAACCCATAACTGTTGCTGCCTGGTGACACCAGTCCGCAGAGGTGGTACACGCTTGCTTTGCTTTAGCCTGAACCAGTCGGTTTTAGTAGGCTCACTTAATGCATCATTTTATTTAAATGCATTTTAAAACAAACGATATTGTTTCCGTAAGACGCCCTGTTTTCATTGTATTTACATAAAATACGTGAGTTAACTCCCCAGAGAATCCGTGAGAAAGATTCACGTTTCTTTTATGTGGGTGACGCGCCGTTATACATGACTGATGTAGCGATAACTTAGTGGCGTCGGAAGGGAGTTTGACATGGGGGGGATGTGCCCACGTGCAATCGTCACATGGTGAAAGAATGCGCTTTAAGAAAGATGTTTCAATGAAGTAATATTAAAATACAAGTATATCATCTTTTAAAATAAGACTGTTTAGGGCACAATTTCACAGCTAAATATAATTTTAAAAAATGACTGATCCATATGATTAATTTGTCTGATAGGACTGTAATCTTCATTGGGTAGGTTATGTTTCGTCCTGCACATCGAATAGGAGTAACGTGCACATCTGTAATGAAAGATAAGGAACGCGTTGGTAATTCGTCTGATATGTTTCACCATTATCATCGCAGAAATGCGTTAAATAGCAAAAGGGAATGTAATGGGGGAGTCATCCGACATTGGGCGCCCCCCCCCCCCCCTTATTTCCGACGCCCCAGAGTATGGCCACTGTTAATCGAGGTTATACGTCACAGTACTTTCATGTGCAGCCCGTTCAGCTCAAAGCGCCCACAGACATAGTCTGCAATTCAAACCGCAGATTATTCCCGTGTGCACACATCTCACTAATGCAAATCCAGTTTAATAAGGACACGTCGCATGTAATGCATCATTATTGCCATACGTGGATGCACAATACCATGCCTTTCACATATCCAAAAAGTGATTAGGAATCAGGCTTTCTCGCACCAGCCAATAAGAAGGTTCAGTCTCTGTCCCGTCTTAGTCTCCGCCCCCTCACCAGAGTATTAATTGTTCCTTGCAATCTATGCCAAGTGCACTGGGACCCTTGGGAAGAGACTTCGGTGAAAGCCAAACACTTCATACCTCAGTTTCCTATTTCAGAAAACTCCGTTAGTTCTTCATCATGGTCGACGCATTCTGTGCCACATGGAAGCTGGTGGAAAGTGATAACTTTGATGACTATATGAAGGCTCTGGGTAAGTTGTCGCCATAGTTTAATTTTGTGGTACCGACGTGTATGACTTCAGAAGTCTCCGCTTGATGATCCGTTATATATTAGTAACCAGCAAGAAAAAATAGTTTAGCAAAATATATCGCTTATTTTATTTTATTTGAAATGTTACCCTTTCTTTGATCTTGATAATACAACATTGGTAGACGGTCTTTCTTCATTTTCTTCTGATCTCGTTCCTTCACAGGAGTCGGCTTTGCAACAAGACAAGTCGGCAATGTAACAAAACCAACGGTTATTATCAGCCAGGAAGGAGACAACGTGGTGGTAAAAACCCTGAGCACCTTCAAGAATACCGAGATTTCCTTTAAACTGGGAGAAGAGTTCGACGAAACGACAGCAGACGATAGGAACTGCAAAGTAAGTCACGATGAGCGACCAAGGATAATGTTGCGACATCTGAAGGATTCAGCTGGGAGTTAATTGACTTTACCTCATACTAACTGGGCGCGCACTTTTATTAGGAGAAATCTAATATTTCGTAAATCGTTGTGATAAAATACTCTATATTTTGAAAAGTATATGCATAATACATCTTCAGTATTGCATTTGAATGGTATACCTTAATTGGCAAGACGAGAAACTCACTGAAAAAAAGGCAATATCCAAGTGTCCTTCAATTTTAGGTTATTTGTCTTTGGAGGAAATAAGACATCTTTAGATTTAGATTTTTTCAAATTTATTTTTATTTTTAATTTCACAGCATGTCCTCTTTAGTGCACAACAGGAATAAATACGTTTCCTTACATCAGTGAAAAGATAGATGGAAAAAAAATTAAATGTCCACTACAATGGACATACATGAATGGGTGGGGTCTCCGGAGGATATAGCACTTCTCTGTGAAGGGTACATCGGCTTAAGTTTGCATCAAAAACAGAATTTATATGTTCCAGATTTTGTCAAGGGAATCATGCGGTTGCACCACAAAAACCGAGTTTCCTTTTGGAAACTCACCTTCGGCCTGTTTTATCGATAGTATCTTGAACCTTTTCTGCTCTTGGCTGCAGTCCGTTGTGAGCTTGGACGGCGACAAACTGGTGCACGTGCAGAAGTGGGACGGGAAGGAAACCAAGTTCGTCCGAGAGATCAAGGACGGCAAAATGATTATGGTGAGAAGTGGATAGTTTGGCTAACTGTGTAATTTGGTGACATTTTGCAAAAGAAAGGTCACAGGCGAACGCTGCCACCCATTTTATTCATCCATCTGGATTGTGCTGTAATATTAATCCGCTCCGCTCTTAATGCCTGTGAGATAATATGAGAAAATTGGGAAACAAGTGTATAAGAAACCAACAAAATCGTAAAATGTAATTCGCCAAGCTTTTCATTCAATTCCATATAAACGCCGTTTGTTTCCCAGCGTACTATTCATTCATACTATTCATTTTAGCACATTAAAAATGCAGCAATAGCTATTATTTTCCCACGATACTTGGTATCCAGTAATCAGTGAATTTTGATTTCCCCCCCCCTCTTGTTCACAGAAACTTACCTTCGAAGACATACTGGCTGTGCGCACGTATGAGAAGGCATAGACTCACCGGCTCCCCTTTCTCGTCGGATCAGCTCAGTTCTGTTTATTGGACTACAGACGAGTGTTTTTGTATTGTATGTATAGAGAAGCACTTCAACCACCAAAATGCTGAATTTTTGTAAGTGGACTTTTATAAGTGACGCAGATTCTTTAAATCACCATTTGTAAACCTGTGCAGAGCATAACTGAAATAAATGACATTAACGGAGCTCCTGGGGTTTCATTATTGAGTTGAGATTGCTTTGCTTAGAGGCAGGTATACCATGGAGTCCGTGACGCCCACATCCAGCATCACCAAGCTGAAGGCCAAGATGCATCTGCGACCCTGCAAGGCGACTCGAACATCACACACAGAATCCAGTTTCATTATTTCCAGTGTCACTTAGAATATTTAAAACAATATATACGGCTATATGAGACGTATAGGCGTTTACCATATTGATGTGCACTGGCTTTAAAACGGCACCAGGGATCGGGGATGGTAGTTACTTTAATTAAAGGTCGAAAACACTTAAAATTTCAATCGTGTTTTGTAGCTTAATCCTAAATTAATGCATGAGGTGATATGCTTGAATATCACAAGTTATCTGCGCAACAATTAAATGTGAAAGGCGGTATCATGTAATATAACCAGTGATGCTTGTTACAGTTTATTTGGACAAAGCACAATTGTAAATCCACCCTGCGACTTTCTTCTTTACAAGCGTGCTCACTTCCAAAAATCCCGTTTGCTGCAAGCGTGCAGTGCTGTCACATGACTACAAAACACTTCCTGTTTGTGACAAAGGAGGCGATTGATCGCTGGTGTCTAACCAACCTGTTGTGGTTTTTAATAGTCATGGATCCTAAAGCTTGGTTTTATATATGTGCGCTGATTGTACGAGGTTATCTCCCACTTTCCGCTCTTCCGATCGCGGATCGTTCATGGCATGTTAACACGGCCGTCGTCGGTAAGTGGTCACTATGGTTTAGTGACAGATCTGCATCTACAGTGGAGCTAAATGTAGGAAACGAAATGTCACGATTGAAGAACACATAAAAACCAAAGGACAATGACATCTCATGTAGATTTATTGCAAATGCGTGGATATAACATTTTTGTAGTGTTTACAATAAAGCGTAGTACAGTAGTCTATTGCTGTAATGCAGTATTGATTTTTACATTTGATTTGATTAGATACCTTTAAGTCGTCTTGTACAATTGAATATTTACTTAAATATTTACTAAGCAGCAGAAGTGTAAAGACTTAAAACTGGAATTCAGATTTCACTCGATCATTCTGGCACATAAATAAGTTTTCCACACTTCCTGTGTTTAAGCTTTGATCGCCAACAATATCAAGTCATTATAATAAGTTGTACACCGAACATTTTTTTCAATATCGACCGTATGCAGTTCAGTATGTTACTAGATCAGGTGTGGTAAGTCGTTTTGGTCACAGTCACCTTCAGGTTATGTGTCTAATAAATTTAACTGCGATTTCAACTCAGAGATAAACGATAATGTTGTATTATGTAGCTTAAAGCTATGAGGCTCCGTTTTTCAATGGTCATATTGTGTTTTATGCACAATACGTACTTGACATAAGCTTTGTTCTTAGCAAACTTCTTTGTGATATGCGATTTAGAAATGCGCACATTAACTCGGATATTTATATTATTGTTGTTTTGATTCGATTTTTTTCCGGGCAGGTAAATTCTGGCACATTTCGGATTTGCATTTGGATCCAAGCTATCACCTCACAGAGGACCGCACCAAGGTCTGTCTGTCCTCCAAGGGCTATCCGGCCTCTGATCCTGGCGACTTCGGGGACTTCTTCTGCGACTCCCCTTACCAGCTGATCCTGTCGGCTTTCGATTTCATGAAGCAACAGCCCCAGCAAACGGATTTCATTATATGGACTGGGTGTGTATTATCAAGAGTCACCGAGACTTTTGACACTCTAAAGTTATGTTACATCCATTGCATTTTTTTGTCCTGCCAAATTGAGCAGCTTGTGGCTCTGTGATTTAGGAGTGCCAATGATCGGAAGGTCACTGGTTCAAATCCCAGGGTCGGCAGAATGATTTCACCATTGGGCCCTTGAGCGAGGCCCTTAACCCCTGGCTGACCCTGCTTCTTCAATTGCTCATCACTTTGGATTAAAGCATTTGCTGAACAAATAAATGTAAAAGTAAATCGTATAAAGAGAAAACCAAATGTTTCCCTGTGAGTTTGCCAGAGTCACTCATTCAAAGGTCTTGAGAATGTTATTTAAAGCTGGAAAACCTTGTCTGTAGTCAATAAGGAAATGACCTGAATTGAACAGTATATTTAACCAATTAATCACCCCTTCCAGTTTATACCCATGTGTGTCCTAATCAGCTTTCACAATCAATATTTAAGCTGAGGAAAATCAATTAAGATTTAAATTAATTGGCATGATCAATGCTTATTATGAAAAATGTATTAACTAAGACGTGGTTTTCCCATTAAGTAACAGCTGGAAGACTTTGAGGGCAGATTATATCTGAGGGTATTTTGGTTAATTCAGTCTTTAGCTTTTGAGTACAGTGAGATTGACTTGGCGTGATGCCCCTCTGTTCCCCAGCGACAGCCCCCCCCATGTTCCTGTGGACGAGCTCTCCACAGACCTGGTCATACAGATCATCAGGAACATGACTGACACCATCAGGAAGTTCTTTCCAAACCTCCCTGTCTACCCTGCTCTTGGTAACCATGACTACTGGCCTCAGGTATTACACCCCATAATCACGGGGACAGAATCCGAGCAGCTGATTTTCCACATGCAACCAGGAAGTACTTGCCAAACAAACATCAACTTCTGGTGTATATTCAGTACATTTTCTTGTATAATACATTTATTTTACATGATACCTAAATTTGTGCATGTCCATTGTCAGAGTTAATTATACCACAGTATGTCCCCCGTCCCCCCCACCCAGTTCTTGTGGGGTATTTCTTGGTAACAGAGCAGTTTTGCTTCTGCATTGTACTTGTCATATTGAGAGAGCCGATACTACAGACCGTGTCAGCAGTTGCTGTGGTTATGCTTTCACTTTTTGTTTCAAAATTGACAGTTTTTTTCGGAATGATAAATGACAACTCTGATAAATGGTAAAATCCCCTTTACATCAGCACCAGTAAATTGACATCTGATTAGCAGGATAAGTGTAGTGGAAATGGCTCTCCACATGTGGACCAGACTCTGCATTTGAGTGGTACGGCTTTTTTTTCTGCAGGATCAGTTGCCAGTGTCCACTAGTAAGGTTTACCAGGCTGCGGCTGACTTGTGGGAACCTTGGTTGATTCCAGAAGCTTTAAAAACCTTGAGAGAAGGTAAATTAACTCCTTCCAGAACAAGGTGCTAATGATAGATTTTATTACACCAGATTGGCAGGTCATTGAGTCTTTGTTACTGACTTTTATTGATTGATTTGTTTTATATTTCATTTTATAACATGGCTTTGGTAAAAAAATTGGTGCAAAGATGTCACATGGGTGTTCATTATTTTTGTTTAACTGCACAGGTAGTTTGGCAGCCTAATAACAGTTCTGTATTAATGTGCCTAAATATTTTATTCAGTAAGTTAATTTTAAAAAAATTGTATGGACTTTTTACTCATAAATAAGTAGTCATTCTTATCAGCATAATCTTCCTCGGTTATCAAAACGCGAGCGTCTGTCAGATACATAAGGGGATTGCTGCTTCCAGCGACCAGACATTCTATCCTTATGGGGACATTGGAACATTATTAAATGCGAAGTGAAATAATTTTCCTTTGAAAAATTAACAATGACTTTATTCTTTTATTATTGTTTGTTCATTAGCTGTGGTGTAAGCTTGATAAACCACTTTGAGGTGAGCAGTTATATGAAAATAATCACCTCCAGCTTGGTTAGCAGCCCTTCGATTCACGACATGCTGCTTTACACCAAACCGTGGTTGATTATTTTTGTATAACACTTCATCACAGTTTATTCCTTCTACATATTCTTGTGCGGCCTTGCAGTGTCACCCCACACGTGTGCCAGCCATTACATAAGAAATAGTCCATCAGTCCATCTTTTGAACTTGTATCCTAGTCAGGGTTGTGAGCCTGAGACATACAGTTTGTGTTAAAATAAACCCCTTTGACATGCATAGTGAAGGACCATTAGGAAAATGTCTGTTGGAGGCTCATGACTCGTCAGTCTCCGTCCCAGTTTTTCCTCAGCACCGCTCATCTCTCTGCTCTCTGCCGCCGGCCGCGAAGGTGGCTTTTACTCCCAGCTGGTCCAGCCCGACCTGCGCCTGGTGAGCCTGAACACGAACCTCTACTACGGACCCAACAAAGCGACGGTGAACGTCAGCGACCCGGCTGGCCAGTTCAGCTGGTTGGTGGAAACCCTGGAGAGATCTCGAGCAAGCAAAGAGAGGGTGAGGAGACGTGGCTCAAGATGAGCATCACACTCTTTAGCCCTTTTAACGTAGCGCTTTTCACGTAGCGCTTTTAACGTAGCGATTTTAACGTAGCGATTTTGACGTAGCGTGTTTAATTGCATAATATAGAATTAACAGCATCACTAAGTGGACTTTAGGTTGTGTTGAAATGTATTTCCCCTTGCATCGTCTGGGACCCCCTCCTCCCAGTACGGCTAATTTTATTGTGAAAGAGGCAACCCTACTGGGGTCCGATGCCCCCTAATGGTCAGATCCTAGAATCGCCCCTAGTACTTCCCCCTTTGCTGTGGCCAAAGATCCAAAAACGTATTGGTGAATCACTCAACTCTTGCATATATAAAGGATCCCACTGGCTGTGAAAAATGATTTAGCTGCTGGGATAAATGAAATACTGAAGATTTGTGGCCTGTGGCTTTCTGGAGGGATGGTGGCGTCCTGATACCCCGATCCCGATCGCTCCAACCCCCCCGGATAACCCCAGTACGCTGTCTATTTTGTGGAAGGTCTACATCATCGCTCACGTTCCGGTTGGTTACCTGCCGTACGCCATCAACACCACCGCCATGCGCGAAGTCCACAACGAGAAGCTGGTGGAGATCTTCCGAAACTACAGTGACATCATAGCCGCTCAGTTCTATGGCCACACCCACAGAGACAGTGTCATGGTCCTTCAGGATGACCGAGGTGATGGAAACTCCATGCATGTTCTGTACTACTTTATTTTCCGGTGTTTTGCATCCATCCAGAAAACAGGCAGCAAAAGATCTCACCACACAATAGTATGGCGTCTGATTGTATATATGGCGAAACTTTAGTCTTGGTCAATATTCTGCTAATCACAGATGTTTTCAACAAGTTTTGGTCCATGTCTACATTTTAGGGAATCCCCTGAATTCAGTCTTTGTCACTCCGGCTCTCACTCCGATAAGAAGTGCAGCAGAACCTTACTCAAACAACCCAGGCTTGCGTGTGTACGAGTATGATCCGCAGGAGTTTACTATTGTCGTAAGTATAACTGCAGAACACTGGAATTCAGCACGCTACACTGAATTAAGTTAACTGTTGAAAATTCTAGCCTCAGGAAGTGGGCTTTTGACCACACTGGGTCTTAGACCGCAAACGCCTTAAGTAACTGTAAAACAGTTACTACATAAGAGCCTACATAAGAGGGTCTTGTATGAGAGTAATGCTTTTTTACTGAGCGATGTTCGCACGCTAGAACACACCAACGGACTTGGTTGTTGTTTTTATTTTTTTCGGCATTTAAGCCCGAATAATTAGGCGGAAACTGGACAATAGCCATTGTTGTAATCTGCCTGGTAACTTTCTGAAATGTAGCCCCTTGTAAACATTGGGCGACATTACTAAGTGCGTGTACTGCTTCAACATTAGTTACACTTAATTTAATGTAATTTTTTTTTTTTTTTTAGCAAAGTGGACAGAATGTAGAGACTTGCGTTATTTTTTTATTCTGTAAAGCAAACCTTTGGATATGTAGTGGTTACATGTAGAATATGATTAATTGTAGATGTAAGAATTACAGAAAAAGGCTCTTTCATCGGATCGCTCACTCCAGCATTCTGGCGACTGATCAACGCTTTCGTTTTTATTTCCCCCGAGGATCTCTTTCAGTACTTCCTGAATCTCACAGAAGCCAATCGAGAGAAACGGCCAGACTGGAGGCTTGAATACACCATGACAAAGGCCTTCCACATGAAAGACGTCCGGCCACAGAGCTTGCTGCGACTCGCCGAGAGTTTCACGGCACCGCAGAGCGACGCTTTCGACAAGTACTTTAATCACTTTATGGTGAGCTACAATGACACTGTTGTTTGCCAAGGAATCTGTAAGATAATTCAAGTGTGCTCTGTGCAGTTCTTGGACCAAGCCTCCTACTCTCAGTGTATTAAAGGCAAGGCGAAAACAGAAGGAATAGATTATAATGTTTTGTGATAAAGGACCAAAGGAGGAGTGGAGAAAAATGAACGAGCCGCTAACAGAATAATGATTTTAAAGTTTCTATTTTTATAGCAGAGGGGAATGAAATGCATTATACAAGATTGGGAAATCAGAATTGTCCATCATCCAAGTGAACATCTTGGATGCTTTGTGGGGCTATGCTGGGGGGGGGCACACACAGACCTCTCCCAGACTTTTTGGGAGGAAATCACAGGACATGTTGGGGAGGGGTGGGGGGGCACAAATGAATAATTTAAATACAAAGGTCTGCTTATTAGGGGGGTGGATGAAGCCAAATGAAATACTGGTGGGTGGGGTACATCCCTCCAGCCCCCCTCTGTTCCTACACCCCTGTACACAGAGTCGGGTTGAGATTTGAATTTTTAATTGTAGTATTGTGTGGTAAGCATGTTAGCCCTGAGCCATGTGTCCCGAATCAGGATCATCGTGGGTGTTTTAGCATCATAATTAATTATTTCTTGATTGTTAACATTTTGATTATGTTGTCATGCACTAAACCCGTCCTTCGATGCCATATTACTGAAAATGACATCTACAGCTGCTAAAAAATAAAGTCATATGATGAATATCTGCATTTGTGATGGTGCATCTCATTATTCTTATACATTGAGGGAAACATCCAAATTATACAGTACATGCTACTGCGGGGAATGCAGCTCTGTGGCACAGAACATGTTCAAGTTAATCTCCTCGAGGTTTGATTGGCGTCTGCGTTCACCTGTAATGCTGGGTCATGTATTTGAAGGAGGTGCCTCGTCCCCTTGCCATATGGCTCAGTGGGCTAAGCTACTGTGCCTGTGATTGGACGATCGCTGTTTCAAGCCCCTCCCTTGCCAGAACAGTCAAGCAAGGCCCTTTACGCCCAGCTCCTGGGGTGCCACATGTTGGCTGACCCTGCGGCGTGACCCCGTCAAGCTATGGAGAGCGAAGTCAGCGAAGAGAAGAATTCCAACATACTTGTGCAAATGGCCAACAAAGGATTTTTCCTTTTATCGTAATTTCCGGGCGCCATATAGAAACTGGGCCACACGTCTCAGTCCTCCAGCCAAAAGGTTGATGTGATGTTTGTGCTTTTTCAGCAAATGTGCATCCATTAAATCATTTAAATTATAGCTTAAAAGGCAGCGTGCATTTGCAAAGATGCTTTTTCTGTATGCAGTGCCGCTGCCCCTCCCTTTCTCCCTCCCCCCTCCTACCCAGAGCCAGTCTAGTCACTCTACTGTATGTCTCCCCCCCCCCCCCCAGCTTCCAAACACTTTCATTATCAAAAGCCTTTCAGCGTGCCCTCTTTGTCTTGTCAACTCCGTAGTGTAACTTTTTTTTTCTTTCCACCTGCATGGCGCCATTGAGCCACTGTGGGAGAGGTTAACTCATGACCTCAGTCTGAGAAAAGAAATTCACTGAAATCCTTCCCGAGACTAAAGCCGCTCTCTGCAAGCGGTGGCGTGAGGAGTCAGACGCCCGGCCCCTCCCCCGTCGGAGGCCCCCCCCCCGAGCCACTCTGCCCTTCCAGGGGCCCTATTCCTTTCACGCCACAGAGGAAACCTTCCAAAACGCAAACACTGCCGAATGCTGGTGGGCTGCATCGGTGACAGTGGTGCATGCGAGTCAGGAAGATGACGGACTGGTGCACGTCCCTGGTGCACGTCCCTGGTGCACGTCCCTGGTGCACGTTAATGAAGGCTCACTGCAAGGCTGCCGGGGAGCCCAGATTGACCGACCAGCAACGTGACGAAAATGGATCGATATTTGATGTTTCCTCCTTGCGTTACTAAGGAAGAATGATTAAAAGAACAGGTGTTTTTTTTAAAAAAAAAAAAAAAACAAACAGCCTCTGTGGCTTTGTGACCTGGACTTTCACTGCAACAAATAAACCTTATCAAAGGACATGGATGTTGTGGCCCCGTCAATATTGGCTCCGCCCCCATCAGCTCCGCCCCTTAGCCACGCCTTACATTCAGCCATACAGCACTGGGCACCGATGGGTGTCTGTTTGGGCCCGTGGCTCTATAAATAAATCGCTGAAGCCTTGCCCTCACATGCTCCTGACTTGGACTCAGCAAGGCGTCAAAAGCCTTCCCCGAGGGCTGTGGCGAGATGGTGAAAACGTGGCGAAACTTGCAACATCCTACAGTGCCGCGTGCGTCTGCGGGAGGCACTTCTGTACACGCCTGCTAGTTCGTGCCAGGCGTCCCTGCGAGAGGTGGACAGGAACGGCCTCGCTTTTGAGGCAGCATTATTACCAGTCAGTGGTATTACTCTTTTAGTCTATTGTTGGTATATAAATCTCTCACATCGTGAAATACCTGGAAGCCCTGACACCTTGTAAAGCAGACTCGCCGTTAAACTTTACACTTCAGCGCGCTTATTGTATCGTAAACAGGCCGTTGCGAGCTCCACTCAGCGCGACTTGTGTGTAGCTCCTTCAAGGGCCACTAATGCTTTTGACGCGCATCCAGACCCGTTCTGGTGGTCTGCAGAAGCGCAGTGTCGCCCAGAAGAGGGATTGACACCAGCAGCCGAGGATTATGGGATATGGTGACGGGGCTGGACTAGCCCTCGCTAGGCGCCAGCGCCTCGTCATCCTTCTTGTTTTGATCACGTCTCTTAACCATCAGTGTTTAATCTCAGGATTACCGTTGAAATTGTGCAACTGTGCTTGCTCCGGGCAGAACTACCATTTTTAAAATGTCTTTATGCATCATCTTCATGGTGTGGCAGACTGAGGGGTTACTGAGGACATATACACAAAAGGGAATATTACCAATTCTTTCAATTTAACTAGAGGCTACGATATTACAAAATGCTGCGATTATGCAATCAGTTAAGAGTATGAGCAAGGTAGCTAACTTGTGCCCAGAACTTGTGGAAACTCCTTCAGGACTGTTGGAGCAGCATTCCAGGTGGCTACATCTCGGAGCTGCGTACATTAATGACAGGAGTCTACAAGGCTGACATCACAGCCAGAGGGGGCTATTTTGACGAGTTTAAAATTTGAGAAAATTTTGAGGTGTTGAACCCCTCTGTTGGTTGTTGCAATATTTGATACGCATGACTCAAGCCCTTTTTCTATATCCTCCTGAGACCCCACCCATTCATTTATGTCCATTGCAGTGGACATTTTGTTTTTGCATCTATCTTTTCACTGATGTAAGGAAACATATTTATTCCTGTTGTACACTAAAGAGGACATGCTGTGAAATTAAAAATAAAAATAAATTTCTAAAAAGATGTCTTATTTCCTCCAAAGGCATAGAAAATCACAATTAACCTAAAACTGAAAGACGCTTTTTTCCTTGGGTCTCAGGAGGATATGATGAGTAACATAGTTAAAACAGAGACAGATGCATTAAAATCAGGTGTGTGCCGATGTCTGACTAGTACTGTATGGATGTGTAGGTTAATGAGACCCGGCCATGAAAGATGAGCTCTCCGGGTGCCCTGAGTGCCAAGCTTTATATCAGCCTTCATACACAGCAATCCACCTTCATCCACTAACGTCGTATGCATCATTGGTGCAGAGCCTGAGATCAGGCAGGCAGGCCTCCCCATGACAGTCACAAATCTGATACTTTAGCAACCCTAAATAATGACCCACTTCATTATTTTTTTCCCCCAAGTTTTATCTAGTCTGTAGGCTTTCACAATTACCTCATGGGTCGATCTGTTATAAAAGCTAAGGGGAGGGGCTAGCGGGCAGCAGCTGAGCATTGTGTCCTTGTCCAGTGAATCCAGGCAGCGTCTCCGAGAGACTGTTGGGTTGCCGTGGTGAGGAGGAATGACCTGAGGTAACCTCGCATGGACATTCAGCAGGCCTGTTAGGGAGTCTAGCTCCGAGTGCGTTTCCAGTAATCAGGTTGTCCTCTGCTCTCACAGCGTCCTGTTGCTCTTCCATCCTCGGGATCGATCTCCTTCCAGAGCCATTTTATTAAACCCCGGTCCAAACTGTATATTTTTAATTTATTAATATTTTAAATTACATAATCGATATTACTTCTATGATTCAGGGCAAGATTCTATACTAGTCTGACTCTTTCATGGAATTTTTAAGTTTTATGTTTAATAAGCGTAAGCTTTAGAATTGTACTCTGGTTAAAATAATCCCGTTTTATTTTAAGAATTAGGATAGTTCATCTATTCTCTATGTTTCTGCATTCTGTGATTAAACTGGGAACCGGATTTAACTGCAGAAATTGGGCTATTTTTTACTGATGCTTTCCCCAGGGATAAATACGCTTGGCTGATTGCCATCAGGGGACTAGTGCATCTGTAAGTCCATTTAACGAAAACCCTTTTAAACTCCATTAGAATCCTGAGTTTTGTGGGAGGGGCTTTGTTTAGATTTAAAGTCACGGCGCACATAAATTCCCAGGGATGGCCTTGGTTACATGTGCCCTCCATTGTGGTCTGGGTTCTCTGTTCCCTCATTACCTCATCTTGCGTGGTGCACTGCTGTCCATCCGCATGTGTTACCAACAACAACCGGGTCCTCTGATGCCATCCCAAGCTGATGCTGGCGCTCTGAATATCTGGTATTTTAAATGCAGAGATCTGGTGGCTTTGATTCTAACATCACATTTTAGACAGAAAGCTGAAACCAGAGAAATGGGTGCATAAGGATTCCTTGTATTAATGACTTTAATATCATTAGGGCATAATTGTGAATTTGAAGGAACTTCTGTCCAATGAAAAACATTGGGAGAACCCAACCAGTTCTTTCTTAGGTGCTTATTGTGACATGAGATGCCACCGTCACAACTCTGTTTGTGATATGAGTGACATCAGGAACTGGCTGTAGCAGAAACAGCTGCTCACATATCACCTTTAGGTCCCCACCGGGGCTCTTTTTATTGACACTCTTCCATGCCATACCACGGTATTTAAGCGTGAAGGTTGAGCAGCTTCTATGAAAAACCTGAATACTGTATTAACAAATATTATAAAATCATGTAACATGTTTATTCCATTTGATGCATCAGGTAAGCAACTTCACTGAAGTATTGAAATAACTGTTAAAATCATTTTATTTAGTTTTTGTTTTTTAGTTTTATCCACCAAAATTTAAATTGTGCCATCAAAATTCTCTCGCCTCTTGGGGGGGAGGGGTAATCTTATTTGCTGGCCCTTGGGGGGCGGGAT